TCTTCCTGGCCACCCTCTCGGCGCCAACGAGAGGCAGAATGAGGGCGGCTCCGCTGGTGGAAGCCAGCGGGAGCTGGCGCGATTGGATCTCGTTGCCCCGAGTGTTGCCGCGTCTCGTGTTCAGGCTCCTTCGTTCCCCTCCTCCTCTGCTTCTCCCCCGTCCCCCTCCCCCCTCGTCCCTCCCCTCTCTTCTTCCCTCATAGTTGTCCCTTCTGTCCTTTCTGCTACGGTCGAGTTTGATTAGCAGATCGACCCTGACAAATCAAGGGTACCCTGTGTTCTGTGCTTCGCGACCCATCCCTACTACATTCATGCGGCAATGTGGTCCTCGGAAGAGTCGTGTTTCCTATCGCGAGCCCTCTCCAATCAACCCAGACTGTACTCCTCCTCCTCCTTCTTCTCCGTCATCCTTTCCTCCAGCTCCATGGTTCTCCTGCTCCCTCCTTCCTCCTCTGCCCAGCCTCGAGACCACCCTAGCTGTGCACAAGCGGGCTGTGCTTCGTCCCGCCCCGCCGTGGGCCGCCGTTGTCGCCTGGTGTCGTCGCCCAGGACGGGTCCAGAGATCCGACGCACTGTTGTCTCGACACGGGGCCCCTGAAGTTACGACCGACTTTCCCCCAGGGTTGCCGAGGGCAACGATCGGGGGGGAAGGGCATATGGGGGGATGCATCGACCCCCAATCGCCCATTGATCGCCGATAAAGGGCCCGATAGCCCCAACCTGCCCAGGAAGGTGCGGATTCGCTATCGGGGGCCTATCGCCGATTGCCGATCCCAGGTCGATGCTTCCCCCCCTATGCCAGTCCCCCCCTATCGTTGCCCCTCAGGTTGGCGTTTCATCCTGAGCAGTGTTGGGACAGCCCCGGGGCCCTGGAGGGTCTGGGTCCTGAGGAGCGGCCAGAGTCGTGGGCGGGAGCCTGTCGATATCCACGGGCTCGCGGGCGAGAGGCCCCTGGGCCGCGACCCCATGGATGCCCCGCGCCCCGCGCGGAGCGTATCCTTGCGACCGCGTGTATCCGAGATCGCGTCCCCGAGTCCAGCCCGCGCGGGCGTGGATATGGACACTGCAAAACGATGCTCGCCGCTCGCGACAGGCGGGCGGCACCTCTGGCGGCACACCGTGAGAACGGAGCTCCCCGCGAGGGCCTCGCGCGGATGGCCTCGCGCGGGCGTTCGAGGCCGCCCCGGCGTGCGCGAGCGTGCGCGCCAGTGTGCGCGCGCGCACGCGCGCGAGGAGGCCGGCTTCCGCACCCTCGTCGTGGTGCCCCGCTCGCACGCCGACGGGACGTTCGAGCGGCTCTGCGGGGGCCCAGGGCGCTCCGGCGAGGCCCCGTCGCGACGGCGGCGCCGCCGCCGGCGGTGCCGCCGCCGGTCGTCGTCGTTGCCGTCGCCGTCGCTCCCAGACCCCGCCTGTAGGTCGTGGGCAGAAATAGCGAAAGGCGGTTTTTGCATAGCTCTGGCCTCTGGGGGACCTCGCTGGGCCCGGGAGCGTCAAAGAACGGTTCAGTATGAAAAACCGATCCCAGGGAGTGTGTTGAAACCTTTGGGGGTCGACGCCGTTGCCGTCGCCTTCGCCCTCGTCGACAAAGTCGTGCCCGAGCTTCGCCGTCGACGTTGGCAGCTGTGGCCCCCGTTTTCTTGCCCTGCGGGTCCGTCAGGAATCGGTGCGGAGAGAAAATTTGGCCATGTATGCCAGCAGGGGCGGTCAAGACGACCGATGGTGCGGGGGGAGGATGACCGGGTGGCGGACGCGGCCGAAAAAGGAGGGGGGTGGAGGATGAGGGCGATGACGAGGAGCACGTGCATGAGGAGGCAGACAAGGAAGGAGGCGGTGAATGCGGAGGAGGAGGAGGAGGGGGACGAGGAGGAGGAGGAGTTGGTCGACGACGACGGCGACGATGACGACGACGATGACGACGACGACGACTGCGGTGAAGGAGGAGGGCGGCGCGAAGGGGGGACGGGGAGGGGGATGGGGAGCAGGACGGGGGAACGGGAGGGAATACGGAGGAGGAGGACGGAGAGGGAGAGAGGGGTGGAGGGCAACGACCCACATTCCCTTGCGTATAGTCCTCGGCGAAGGCTCTTGCACTCGCACCCCCCGACGCCGTGTTCTGTTCATCCCGGAGGGTCTCCCTTTGCCTACAGCGGCCCCCGGCACCGAATCATAAGGATTTGCCAGGGTTGGACACGCCACCCCCCTTACAGTGGGGGCCCATGCCAAGAAACACCATGCGTTCCTCCATGGTGCCCTGGGTTTCTTGGATTTCGATGGGCCTGCCGTGGAAAGCGTGACGTCCTCACACCAAAAATCGATGGGCGTCCTGGGGTCTCAGGGTTGGGTTTCTGGTGGAAGTTCCCTTGAGGTCGGGCCCCTGTTGGGTTCCTTGTGCGGCGAGGAACCGCGACAACAGTTCAGGGCTCGTTGGTTAGCGACGGGTCCCGCTCCCAGAAGCAAGATCGACGCGCTCCGTCGCCAAAAGAAGGCAGCCGGCACGGGCAAGATGTCTCGCGAGGCTGCCGTCCCCGATCCGTGGCTTTGGCGGGTCCGTGAGCCGTGTTGGCGCGTGCCCGCTCATGATCTGGGCGTCGCCAGCGATAAGTCGGGCCTGTGCCCCTACAGGGCCATTTTCGACGAGAAATAAAAGATACCCAAAACATAGTCAAACAATACTCCAAAAATAGTTTGGGGATTATTTGTTGGTTATTTTTTACCTTTTTGAAGCATGTTTGGGGTATTTTTTTGGTTCGTCGAATATCCCCGTGTAGGGGGACACGCCCGACGTAACAGCAGCGGCATTTGTTGTTCGCCGTCGTCGCCCCCCAGACAAGCCTACCTGATAATGGGGAGGCGGTCGGGGATTCCCCGAGGGGGGGGGCTTGGCCCACGCCGAGGGCAGGAGTCCCGGACAGACGAAACGCTGAGATAAGGATCAATCTGGGCTCCAGAGGGGCTTTGGTTCTCGGGCCGTTCCTCAGATCTGGGTCCAGGAACCCGTTCACGGCAGAGGCTCGCCGTGGCCAGAAACAGAAACCCTTCGCTCCTGGTTTGAGGGCTGCCGCCTCTGCCGCCGACCCCAGAAGAGCTTCCGGGCCTTTCTCTTTGGCGGCCGATTGGATCTCCTCCGCTTTGTGCTTGGAGGCGCCCTGGGTTCACTGAAGCTCTTCGGCAGCGTGGAAACGCGGTCCTGTGCGATGCAGACGGCCTTTTGGAGCTCTTCTGGGGCAGTCGTGGGGGGCACGTGGGTGCTAGTCGCGCAGCCATCTCGGGCCAAGGTGGGATCTGTGAAGCATCGTCGGCCATCTTGGCGGTCAGCCAGGTCTGGGTAAGCGGGCAGCCAGCGTTCTGGCGCATTAGCTTCTGAGAGCTTAGGGGATTCTCTGGAAGCTTTTGAGAACGAGCGAACGCCGCTGATGGTTTCTGAAGCTTCGGAGAGCCTCAGAGAGTCCATGAGATCACATGACACCCTTTGATGCTTTCTGAGAACATTTGAAATTTCTGCACGTTGCTGAGATCCTGAGGAAGCCTGTGGAAATCACTGAAAGCTTTGGGGAGTTTCTGACAGCTTCTGTGAACATCGAAGAACCTCCGAGAGCTTCTGAGAGCCTTTGTAAGCGCCTCAGAGCTTCTGACAGCATGTGACAGCTTTTACACGCGCGCCAAAGAACGTCTGAGAACTTCTTCAGGAGCCTCGGAGAGCTGTTGCAGGAGCCTTGGAGAACCTTGCGGGCTTCTCGGGCAATCTTGGGGCTTCTTTGGCCGTCTGGGGGGTGCTGTGGGCCGTTTTGTGCCATCGTTGGGCCTTGAAGCCATTTCTTGGATCCTTCTGGGGGTCCTCTTGGGGCCGTTTTAGGCCGTCTCGAGGCTGGCCTTGGCTTCGCGTCGCTGGCAAGAGAATGCCGATTGACGACATCTCGCCCGGAGTTGGTGGCGGCACTACGTTGGCGACGTAGCCGCGGCAACTTACGCGGCACGCGAACAGGCGAAGGCGACGGGGGCGGATTTCCCGGGGGAGGAACCGCCAACGTATCCAACGCCACCGTCGCCCCAACAAAGCTCGCGTGTTCGGGATCGCCACAAGAGTCGTGAAGGGAAAGTGGAGTGTTGCGGGGGCGTGGAGGTGACGGCAGGACCGTAGGACAGAGAGAGCCGGTCAGAGACAGACGGAGGAGGCGACGCGGATGTGCCGCCGTTGGGGAACACACGCGAAGGCCCAGGCATGTCGACGGGAGGCGTCGCTGAGGAGAGCGGGGTTGAGGGGGGGGTGCACTGCGGGGACTGATGAGGTCGTGCCTTTGCACGCGCACCGCGTTCGCGCCGCGAAGACGTCCGATTCCCCGCGCCGGGGAAGGGAGAAGAACTTGGCATGAGTCGCGGAGAACAGATTGAGTGACTATCCCGCGTTGCCCGCAGTTTCAGCGAACGGCGCGGCCTTCAGGCGCGGGGGTGCGACATCGGAAGGAGCAGTGGCGTTGCCGAAAAAGCACTGCGCATCCAGATCTTGTTTATGGCATGGGCTCCCTGATGCAGAGTTCTGCGCGCACCTGCTGGAGAACCATGGGGCGACCTGGACTTCGTGGCAACCGCGCTCTCGTGCGTTTTCCCCCCGACGAGGGCAAGAGCGAAGAGGTGCAATTCCTGTACGCGTACAACGAGGCGGTTGGTTGCTTGGCAGGTGCGTCAGGGGACGCAACTCACACTTCTCTCAATCGATCGACGGCGTCTCCGTGCGTACGCTGAAAAGCAAGGCGAGGACGCGGTGAGTTCTTTGGTCTGCATGGTGCGCGCGCGAAAGTTCCCGCGCGTCGAGCGGTGGCTGGGCAATCCGACTCGATGGGAGAAGGCCTCGTCGAGGCCCTGCCATGCGCGTTCGTCGGAGAGCAGATGTCCGTGGACAGCTATGTGAATCGGCGGGCTCACGGACAGGATCTCGCCGATTGGCACGCTCCCACTGCGTCTCCCGAGGGGCCCGCGAGCGCGCTGTGCTGCGAAAGCGCGCGATGCTGCGCGGGAGCCTGGCGGAGGGGAACGAGGTGCGCGCGAGGTGCCGCTGCGCTGAGAGTGTTGGAGCGGGCTGACGGGCCCGAGCGGCGAAGCGCCTGCGCCCCACGCGGCGCTGGCGAACGGCGCGATGACGTCCCACTCACCGGAGAGGCTCCTCGCAGGGGAGGCAACGTTGCTCAAGATGATTTGCGCGTCCGCGCGCGCGCGCGACGTCGACGGTGTGTTTCCCTTTGGACATGCGTTTCCGCAACGAGCGAACCTTCGACGTGGAAACGGGCAACAACGCACGACGCATGGCGGCGCGTGGCAATGCGACGCCCCTCCCGATGCCTTGGACGACAGGAGGAATATTCCCTACCTGGGCTCTGCCTAGAAGGGTTCTTACTCTCTGGGCTTAAAGGGCCGGGCAGTGCAAACCGCCCCGGGCGGTTCCCCCAGTATCCGCCCCGCGGTTCCCCCAGTTACGTCCCCTTAGCTTAGCGTTGCTTATCTCATCTTAGCTTAGCGTATTTCATCTTAGCTTAGCTTAGCTTCATGTTAGTTCAGGTTTGGCTTAGCTTAGCTTACCTTCATCTTAGCTTCGCTGAGCTTTAGCTTAGCAGAGCACAGCATAGCATAGCGTAGCATAGCACAGCGCACCACAGCATATTCCCTACCTAGGCTCTGCCTAGAAGGGTTCTTACTCTCTTTCTTAAAGGGGCCGGGCAGTGCTAACCGCCCCGGGCGGTTCCCCCGGTATCCGCCCCGCGGTTCCCCGAGTCCCCTGGGAGCTTTAGCTTTAGCTTTAGCTTTAATTGTAGCTTAGCTTTAGCTTAGGTTTAGCTTAGCTTTAGCTTAGCTTTAGCTTAGCTTTAGCTTAGAGTTAGCTTAGCTTTAGCTTAGCTTTAGCTTAGCTTCAGCTTAGCTTTAGCTTAGCTTCAGCTTAGTTTTAGCTTAGCTGTAGCTTAGCTTTACCTTATATTTAGCTTTGCGTCAGCTTAGCTTTAGCTTAGCGTTAGCTTAGCGTTAGCTTAGCTTTAGCTCAGCTTTAGTTTAGCTTTCGACTAACTTTAGCTTAGCGTTAGCTTAGTTTTAGCTTAGCTGCAGCTTAGCTTTAGCTTAGCGTTAACTTAGCTTTAGCTTAGCTTCATTTTAGCTATATCTTAGCTTTAGCTTAGCGTTAGTTTAGCTTTAGCTTAGCTTTAGCTTAGCTTCAGCTTAGCTTTAGCTTAGCCTTAGCTGAGCTTTAGCTTAGCATTAGCTTAGCTTTACTGTTACTACTAATGCTGTTTTCCTGGGGGGTCCAATTCCTAGGTAGGGTCGCACTGGGATAATTCAAACATGGTTCAACAAATAGTATAGGGACGAGTTTGCTACTATGTTTGTCAATTGTTTGTTTTGGGGGCTGTTTTGGTTTTCCACACAATTCCGCCTGCAGGGTGACATGCCAGACCTAATGCTATAGGTGCACCAAATGAGAAAGCGGCCTGTCAGCAGGGACCCTACGGGAATCACTGATCCCCCGATGGCTTCCGGCCCCCGTAGAAGCTTTAGGGCGATCGTCGGCAAACGTGCCCAACGATTTCTGATGGCAAACGTTCCTATCGCACGCGCTCGTGGCATGAGAGCGCGTCAGGGCGACAGGGGTAGCCCAAGGTGGCGTGCCCTTTTCGCGCGCGCCCGCGCGCTCTACGCGCAGAGGTCCAGTGCAAGGACGCCTCCGTCGCTGCGCGCGCGAGGCAGCTGGACCTGCGGCCGGGGCCAGAGCAGCAGCACAGGTCTGCCGCGCTTCGCCGCCGCCGTCCTCGCCGTCGCCGCGGCGCTCCCGTCGCCTGCCGCCGAGGTCGCTGTCGCCGCAGCCCGTGTCGCCGTGCCCGTCGACGACGTCGCTGCCCTCGCTCTCGCCGTCGACCCCGCCGCCGCCGCCGTCGTCGGTACCCTCGTCGTCGTCGCCCTGGCTCCCCCTCTTGTCGCCGGCGCCGTCGTCGTGGGGTGCCCTTGTCGCCGTCGTCGTCGTCGCCCTCGCTCTCGTCGTCGGCGCCGCCGGCGTGGGCATCGCCGGCGCCGCCGTGGTCGTTGTCGTTGTAGTAGTCGTCGTTGCATCCATTGTTCTCGCCCTCGTCACCCCCGAGAGAAAATCGCGGCTGGAGGTTTCCCTAGATTGTGGCCTCCGGTGGTCCTGTTTCCGGCCATGCAGACCGTCCCGAACGAGAATAAGTCAGGGCACCGGGGCCGGCAGGATTCGGTCCAGGATGGAACAATTTGCCAGGGTGGGCCCCGCCAGGGTTCGCTGTCCCCGTCGTCGTCGACACCGACGCCCCCCTCTTGGGCTGGTTTTGTTCCGACATCGTCGTCGCTGCCGCCGCCCCCCGTCGCCCTCGACGTCGTGCCGACGCGCGACGGAGGAGATGGCGGGATGGAGCGCGCGCGGCGGCCTTCTCCTCCCGCGCCCGCTCTGGCGGCCCATAGATCCGATGTATTGTTATTGAAGTGCGGGGCCCCCGGAAGTCCCGACCCTTTCCCTTTCCTCCTCCTCTTGCCTCTCCTCCTCCTCCTCCTGCCTCTCCTCCTCCTCCTCCTCCTCCTCCTCGTCCGCCTCCGACGGCGGAAGCCAGCGGAAGGCGGCGGAAGTAAAAGATGCGCCCCCGAGGGATGAAAACGTGATGTGGTTCAGGGTTGCCAGAGTCGGCCCTCTGCTACGCGTGACGTGCGCCGGCATGCTGAACGCCTGCCGCAGCACGCGGATGCTCGTTCCGGCCCGCTCGCCGCCCGCACAGGCTCGACGCCGGGGGGGCCCGCCGCGCCGCACGCGTGCCCTCGGGCATGGAGAGTGCGGTGGGGCCGAGGGGTGCAGGAACGTCAAGGGATGAAAAACCAGCCAGACCCGAGAGGTTGCGTCTACTCCACGGCCCGTGGCGTTTTGCTAAGCAGCCCTGCCGTGTTCGATTCCTTCTGCGGGTGCAATTACTAAACGGCTTCGCGTGTCGGCGTGATTCGGATCTTCTGCCCGCTAGAAAGAGGCCCCAGAGGGCCCAACTGGGGCCCCGAACTCGGATGCCTCAGGGTCTGCCCTTTGGACTCCTTTCCTGGACCCTGAAGGTGCACGAGAGGTGCGTACCTATCTTCACCCTGCCGTTCCTGGACGTGCGATGTCCTGATCTTCTCGGTGCGGGGTCCCTTGAAGTCCCGACACTTCCTCGGGGATGGTTCTTCATCCTGAGCTGTTTTTGACGGTCCCGGGGCCTGCAGGGACCCCCAGAGGGCCCAACTTGCCAAAAACTTCCAGTCATCATTTCTTCACGACGCGAGCGTGTCTGGGTCTACTGCCCCCTTCAAGCGAGGAGCAACACATGATACGGTAGGTTAGTGCGTCGTTGGCGCGCCGGCGACGATGGCGAAGGCGTTCAAGGTTGGATTCTGCGACGAGGAAGCACTGAGGGACACGGTAACACCATACGACCGATTGAGTTCAATTTTGAGCGATCGTGGCCGCGATCGATTCAAGGATGAACGACCAAGGCGTTGTCAAAAACCTTTGCGCGCGCCCACGCCGCGGATATTGTGGATCGGAGCTGGATCCACGCGTGCGGAGTTTAGAGCGCGGGCCCGCCAGGTGCGGCGCCAGAGGCGCCGCCAGGGGTCTCCAGCCCCGCTATAACAAATCCGCACGGACCTCCGAAAGTTTATGCCGTGGGCTTGGGCACCCTGTGGCCCGGCAGGGCCCGGGGCTCGAGATGAGGGAGGAGGAGTCAGGAGGAGGAGGAGGAGGAGGAGGAGGAGGAGGAGGAGTCAGGAGGAGGAGGAGGAGGAGGAGGAGGAGGAGGAGGAGGAGGAGGAGGAGGAGGAGGAGGGACGACGAGCGACGAGCGACGCTCCCCGCGCCCGCGCTGTAGCGCCAGCCGCTCGCGGCGGGCTCTCTATCGAGGCAGCCGCCTTCAGTGCCCAGAGCCCCCGCCGACCGCGCACGGCAGCCATGCCGGCCGGCGGCGAGCTGCCCGGCCCGGGCCCGGAGGAGGCCGCCGCGGGGGCGGGGCCGGAGCCCCCCCGCAGCGCCGCGGCGGAGGCGGCGAGGCGCGGCTGGGGCGAGGTGCAGCCACGAGCGGCGAGCGCATCCATGTCCACGCCCCCCTCGCGGTCCAGATTCGGGGGCGCGATGCCGCGGGTGCGCGGTCGCTCGCGAGTGCGCCTCGCGCGGGGGGCAGCCGCGCAAGAATGCCCCGTGTGTCCGCGGGGTCGCGGCCCAGGGGCCCGGGCCGCGAGGCCGTGGATGCGGATATGGTATATATGTTCTCAATATATTCTCCCAATGTTCGGAGGGGGAGAGGATGGATAGGGTAAGTTTGGCATACGGTGAACGCCCACCCAGACAAGGCGACGACTGAAGCAATCTGGCCGGGTTCACTCGACACCAGCATTCGAGTGTGCCAGTGCAGTCGCCTTGAGAAGCGCGTCTCGCCAGATACATTCGTGGGGGAAAAAACAATGACATAAGCATGCAAACTCGGAGGTCCGCACGGATTTATCGGATCGGCGCTGGACCCCCTCCCCGGCGCGCGGAGCGCTCCAGGGGCGGCGCCGAAGGCGCCGCCGCTGGGGGGTTCCAGCGCCGATCCGAGAACTCCGCGCGGGAGTCTTTATGTTTATTTCATTGTTTGTTCCTCTAATTCGGCCGTTGTTCGTGTTGATTCGTGATTCCGCCCAGGTGTGCTCGGGACGCGGTGCCGCACGCACCCGTGGAGTGTCCCAGCAGCTTTCGCCAACAAAGGGCGTCTTGCTCGAAGGGGTTCGAGGGAGGACTCGCTGGGCAAAGGGGCGGGGGTGGCCAGGAAGGAATGGCCAGCGGGGGGTAGTGCATCATGGCCGGGGCCACGATATCTCCCCAGAGTTTGTGGCACCTCTTCCTACGGTGAGTTCGTGCGGCGATGGCGCGAAGGCGACGCCAGCGAAGGCGTTCAAGGTTGAACTCCGTATGATCGAGCGACGGTATAACGCCAATTGAACGATCGGGGCTGCGATCTGTTCAAGGTTGAACGATCGACGCGTGTCGGAAGCCTTTGCGCGCGCCGACGCGTTCCCCCTGTCCCCGCCCCCCCAGTCCGTGGACCTGCCTCGGGCCATGATTGGCCACCCCTCGAAGAAGAAGAGAAGAAACGCTATAATCATATAAACATCAACTTTGGGCGCTCCGCGCGGGTCCAAGGAACCCGCGCGGAGCGCGAGAAGTTTATGTTTGTGATGCTTTTTCTTCTTCTAACATCCCCCCCCCCCGCTTCCGTCTTCCTCCGCACATCATCAACATGAACTTTTGGCCCTCCGCGCGGATCTCTCGGATCTGCGCTGGGGCCCCCTGGCGGCGCCTCCGGCGCCGCCCCTGGCGCGCTCCGCGCGCCAGGGCAGATCCAAGAAATCCGCGTGGAACGCCAAAAGTTTATGTTCATGGCGTGTTGTCTTCGTCTGTTTGAAGCACCCTTGCTTCTTAGAAGACGCCGGCCTTGTCTGTAGACGTCAGGCCCGCGCCTGCTTAGCCCTCCCTCGCCCCCTACCCCCTTGTGCGTGACCCCCTACCCCTTGGGGATGAAGAGGCAGCCGCCCTCGCGGAAAGGTGGGGCAAAACCGAGACTCGGGGCGGCGTGGGTCGGGTCGGGCGAGACTCGGGCGAGTTATTTGTCTGGGCACTCCAGAGCGTCGGCGTGCTGTTCCCCTCGGCGCCCCGGCTGCCAGGACTGTGCACACCAGGACCCTGCCAGATCCAGCGGAAGGCAACGAGAAACGGAAACTGTTTCGACCCACGGGTGCGGCTTTCTTGGGTGCGGCAAGGTTTGTCATGGCCCCCGTTTGCGTCGTCCCCCAGACGGTGCGGCGACCACACCGTGTGGTTCAGTCGGTGTCGATTCAGGGTGGCCGCGCGCTTCGGGGACCGGGGCCGTTCGCCGAGGACGCCTCGGGCGGCTGGGGCCTCCAGGGTCCCAGGACCGTGCGGTGGCGGACCGTGCGGTGAGGTACCTGCCAGACCTCCGACGCCACGGTGTTCCCTGAATTCTGCCACCCCTGAGTGGCCTCCTCTTCCCCCCCGCCCTTCGCGGCCGCCTTGTCCGTCCTCTCTCCGCTTGTGCGCGCTGGCCGCTTCGCTTCTCTGTGCCCCCGTGCAGCTCCAGCGCTGGTGCAGCAACGCTGCCTCACCTCCGACGCCGTGGTCTTTTCGCAGCGTGGGCCCAAGGAGCCCCGAGGAGGGGGACGAGGAGGAGGCGGAGGAGGAGGCGGAGGAAGAGGAGGAGGAGGAGGACGGAGATGGAGGACGGAGGAGGAGGAGGAGGAGGGGGAGGAAGAGGAGGAGGAAAAGGAGGAGGAGTGGAGGAGGCGGAGGAGGAGGAGGAGGAGGAGGAGGAGGAAGAGGAGGAGGACGACGGAGGAGGAGGAGGAAGAGGAGGAGGAGGAGGAGGAGGAGGGGAGGAGGGAGGGGGGGGGGAGGGAGGAGGAGGAGGAGGAGGAGGGGAGGAGGAGGAGGAGGAGGGGAGGAGGAGAGGAGGAGACGGAGAGGAAAGGAGGAGGAGGAGGAGGAGGAGGAGGAGGAGACGACGAGGAGGACGACGGAGGAAGGAGGAAGGAGGAAGCGGAGGAGGAGAGGAGGAGGAGGAGGAGGACGACCTCAGCAAGAAAAGAGGGGAGGAGGAGGAGGAGGAGGATGAGAGGAGGAGGAGGAGGAGCTCTTGTGTCCCGATCCGAGCTGTCGTCTTGGCCGCCCCCCGGGGCCCCGCGAAGGAGCGCCCATGCAGAGAGG